ATAATAAATATAATAAATTTTGTAATATAAATTTAAATAAATTATAATATAAATATAATAAATATAATAAATTTTGTAATAAAAATTTAAATAAATTATAATATAAATATAATAAATGTACTAAATATTATGATATAAATTTATAATATAAATTTAAATAAATTATAATATAAATATAATAAATGTAATAAATTTTGTAATATAAATTTAAATAAATTACAATATAAATATAATAAATGTAATAAATTTTGTAATATAAATCTAAATAAATTATAATATAATTATATAAATATATAATAACGAACATAGATACATATATGTACGTTTGGTGTTATAATATAATACGATATAATAATTACATAAATACATAATAACGAACGTAGATACATATATGTACGTTTGGTGTTATAATATAATACGATATAATAATTATATAAATACATAATAACGAACGTAGATACATATATGTACGTTTGGTGTTTTAATATAATACGATATAATAATTATATAAATACATAATAACGAACGTAGATACATATATGTACGTTTGGTGTTATAATACGATATAATAATTATATAAATACATAATAACGAACGTAGATACATATATGTACGTTTGGTGTTATAATATAATACGATATAATAATGTAATAATTTAACCTAAACAGACGCCTTAGAGTAAAAGTTATTATATAATAACGACGTGAGAAGAACAAAAGGTTTTCAGAAGAAGAAATTTCCGAGGGCAGAAACAGTCGTAAGTTAATTGACACTCGTTCGAAATAATTCTCATAAACAAGACTTTTCATTGTTTCTTACGGAAGTTTACGAAATGACAGAGAAGATCATTTTTTTCTTTTTTTTTCGAAGAAAGCATTATATGTATCATTAACTCGTGTACGTCATAGTTGTTCCAGAAAACGTAAAATGCACGTTGACGATTTAAACCTGAACGATGTCACACGTTAGAAAGATATGGTCAACAAACTTTCATGCCGAATACAATTTCAGCAGCATGATTATTCCCAATGCTGTGTCATTTTATTTGAAATGAATACTACTTTGTAAAACAAAATTTTCAACTTATTTGAAATGAATACTACTTTGTATAAATAAAAAGGTTAAGCCGAGCGCCTTGGCATCGAATCGTTCATCTCGTTTCGTGCAAACGCGGTCTTGAAACCAAGTCACTGGAATTAAAAGAGATTAATCTGAACAAGATTAATCTAGTGATACATACAAAAATTAGAGCGAAGACGAGGATTACTATTCGCAAGCCGTAGTCGGCGAGTTTCCCAAAAAAAAAGGGTTTCTAAATTAATGCGGGTGAAATACTTGTCTCGTTAAAACCGAATTAACCTGATGGGAGCTCGATGGTCGTTGCCACTTAGAATCACCGATTATCCATGGAAAAAGGGGGGTGGGGGGCGTGATTAGGTACACCTGATATGCCTAACAAACGGCTGACGCGCCCCTTGACAACGGAACCGTGGTGGTTCTTCTCTTCCTTCGTCTTTCATCGAACGGCCGCGCTGATCGATCAGGCTAATGAGCTCTTGCCGGGCACAATGAGAGAAATCTGTCTCCGGGGCTCGTCGATGTGAGAAATAATAATAACAACAATTGTAATGATGAAACGAGAAAAGGAGCAAGAAAGAAGCTGAACGAGTTCGAGAGCCAGGGAGTGACAAAGAGATGTAGACAGAAAAAGAGAAAGAGAGACAGAGAGAGAGAGAGAGAGAGAGAGACCTTGTCCCGATGACGCAGAGACTGATAAAATAGTAACGAGGCCGGCAATAAAGAGAATACTTGCGAGGAAAGGGAATCGTTTTCAGGGAAACAAACCCTCCCCCGCCGGAAAAGAGGGGAAGAACGAAAGTGGAAAGGGGGAGGAACATGGGAAAGAGTGGAAAGTTTCCGGAAGCCGGACGGAGGATAAGAGGGATAGGTCCTGGTGATGGAGGGACAGCTGAGCAGAATCACCGCGGAAAAGTAATCTCGGCGTCTATACAAAAGGGGGTGAAATAAGTATCCGCGGGCTAGAGTGTAACGTTGTCAGAGAGAGGACAAGTTCTCTCTTTGCCAGAGAGAGAGAGAGAGAGAGAGAGAGAGAGAGAGAGAGAGAGAGACAGACAGACAGACAGACAGACA